TAACATTACTGTAAAAGTGTTAAGAGATTGCCATAACTCCTTTCAGTTATCTGCTTACTTTTAGAACTGGTTGTATATGTTTTGTTTTCTTTGTCATTTCATTTCCTTGATAAGTTATTGAACTTCAGTATAGAAAAAAAAATAGTACCTCAAAAAAAGTATACCTCTGTAGTAACAACATTTACTTTTAATTATTTATATTAGTATTTTTTTCATAATAAATCAATAGAAATTATTTTATATTTTAAAATAATTTACTGCGTACACTGTTGGCGGATGTTATAAGGTTATAATCAGCGTATTTACGGCATATTTTACAAATAATCAGTACCGTATTTGTTTAAAACTGTTGATATTAAAAAGAAAATTAAGTACTTAGTTAGATTATTATTATTATATTAGATTTTTTTATGTCAGAGTATCGAACTTTGTTAGAACTTTCATAATTTAAAAGAAAAATTTAGTCATGTGTAAGGAATACCAAAGAATATTTCTTTTTTTTTTAACATCCTCTTCCTTCTAAGTACGATTCCTTACCTAACGAAGAAGACCCTACACGACCATCCTTACTTTCCAGATTTGCAGGTTATACAACAGAACAAGAAGCTTGCTGAGACATTCCTTTGGTCATAGGATAGTTTTGCAGGATTCCAAAGAACTTAGGATTTCTCCTTTCCTGATTATTGTTTACGCAATCTATGTATCTGAAGCATATATACCTCTTGGGAATAAATACATCTATGTAAAATTTATTATTTTTTGAAAATTTATTTATTTAATTCATTTCATAATACTCCTCAATACTAGCTCAAATGAATGATGGTCAAAGTAATGGTTGATTTATTCAAAATTCGTAGCACAATTTTTTTTTTTTAATTTCGCATGAATACAATGCAGTGAGGAAGCAAACGTTATTGAACTAAATAATTTCTTTTGGTTTATTGTTTTCAATAATGAACCATTGTAATCGAACAAAAAATTCGAAAATTAACCTCCTCTCAAAATTTGAAGTTTTACGTTTCAGGATAAGTAGAATTCTTTTGATCGCCCGCCGACCGCTGTACGCCGTACCCCGTACGCGCATTTTCTCCGAAACACTGGATCCACTTTATTCAAATTTGGATTTAAAATTAGAGGTCACCCGAGGATGATCCTCCTTCATTGACATTACTATCCGCCTTTACTATAACTACGTCTAAAAGAAAGTACTGATTTCAACGAAACTTGCCTAAAGTCTTCTTCTTGATGCCCTTTAAATTTATCTATATAACATACAACGAAAATAAGCTGGAAAGAAAGTTACGAGAGGTGGTAAAATTTGATTTCCAAATAACTCAAAAGTATACATTTTTTGTGGATAAGGTAACACGTTTCAAAGGTATTTAAATTTTCTAAAATTTGAAGTAAGTTTCATCGAAATCAGAGCACTATTAGTAAAGATATATCGCGATTTTTAACTATTTTTGGTTTATTATTTTCAATAATGAACCATTGTAAACGACTAAAAAATTCAAAAACTTGACCTCCCCCCTCAAAATTGTATATGAATATTTAAAAGATAAAGAAATTTCTTTTAAAAAAAATCGGACAATTTGGAGTAAAGATATGTCTCTAGATATTTTCTGTATCTTCTACTGCAAAGGTTATTTCCTTTGCTTTGGTTTTTGATTTTTGGAAGTGTTACTGAAGTAGTGGTATTTTTTTTAGCAAATTACTAATGATGAAAAAAGAGTTGTTTAGGCAATAATAGAAATCATCTTTCGTTTCTTTTTCTTTGTAACTAGGAAGCTAATGTTAATTTAGATGTGTAATTGTTTGAAAATAATAAAACATTCTGAAATAATTAGCAGCGTTTTAAATGTGGAAACAAAACATGTTAATAAAACCCCACAATAACGATATATTAAATTATAAATAAAATTAATACGATACATTATTATAGAACGATAAAGAATAACTTAGCCCTCTCTGGCTACGATACTTCCATTGCTATAGCTTCGATCACCCCTGACGAAGGCCTGAACTTCGGATCGAAACGTAGGCAAATATTAACTGTTATAAATCCACCTCACTAATTTTTAAATATGTGAAATAATAAAATAAGGATAATATTTTCTGTTAAAAAATAAGTTAAATTCTTTGAGTTAGAACAAAATGTTAAATACATAATTAAAGTAAAATTATACTCCTCGAAGATAGAAACGGAGAAATGTGGAACGGAGAAAATACCCATAATAAAAAAAAAACTTACACATATTACAGAACTACAACCCACTGAGAGAGTCTTCCGTTCCGTTGTTTGTAAAGAAACACTGTTTCAAGGCCAACTGTGATGCAGGTAGATGATTGAGAAGAGATCACGATCAACTGCCAGGGTTCCTCTTAATTAATTATTTAATTAAGAGTATCCACTTTATAGAGGGTGTGTGTGCCTCAAGAGAGTCCCTTGATCCATGTCTCTTGAAGTCCATCCGCTTCTGAAGTTATAGAATAAATAATTATCTGCCACAGCCGGATCTGACTTATAACTTTGGACATTGGAGCCCGGTGCTTTACCCTCCGTGCTACACGTTAAGATTTAATTTAGAGCAAGAACTCATTAGGAAAAAGATAAAATTGTAAACATTTCCCTTGTTTGTAGGATGTAGGTCCAATTTTTAGTTTATGAGATATTCTAATTCAAATGAAAAAACACTTCAAACGTTGACTCGTGTGCTTTAAGTAGAAAAGAGAATAAGAGAGAGAATAATAAGTAGAAAATTTTTTCGCTGAAAAAATTCGTTTGGTAATTGTAGTTTTCTTAGTTAATTATTCGATTATCAGATTCTAAAAATTATAATTATTTCAATATCTAAACACAATAGTAATCGGAAACCTGATCACTGTAATCGTTGATTATGATTATACTCCTCAATGATCTTTACAAATGGGTTTAAATGTCAGCATTTAGCCTTTTATCGATTTATTTCCTACACAGTCAATGTTTTAATAATTCCTGAAACTTAAAAAATGTTGACGGCTATTGCATCATTGCATCGGTGATAGACAACCAGGTTTTCAGATCAACAGATATTTGAAGTGAAAACGTCTTATTTAACATTAACACTTTATTTTGTGGGTAGTGAATGAGACAGCTGTCACACTCGGCTAAGTAATATAGGTATAATCGACTTAAGTTGACTATTTTTTGTATTTGGATTAAAATATTTCAGAAACTAAAAATCAGACCTGCATACTGTAAGCGATGAAAATGTTCACCATTTCATCCTTTGTGTTATGAACTGTTATTCAAAATTGTATCTTGAAGCGCGATGAGAGAAGCAAAAAGTGAAAATGAAAGAGACTAAAATCGAATAATGAGTTGTTTTTTTTTTTAATATTTAGAATTAAATATCTCAAAAACCAAAAATTAGACCTGCATACTGTTAATAAATATTAACAACCGTTTTGAACGTTCGTAAAATGAAGGAGTAAAACATTAATATTTTCATATTATTAATCCTCCCGCCTTGTTCATGTTATCACTTCTAGCGTATGGTCTCAAGCACACACTATAGTTTTTTTATATAATTAAAAAAAAAACCTTTACCAATACAATCCATGAAGGGTCTTGGGTTCAATACTGTTTCTTGGTCTACGGTTGTGCAACAAGGTGATTTGACCGGGTTCACGCTGAACCGCCATGTTCTCCCATAATTAATTATTTTAATTAATGGTACCCAACTTTAAATCGGTACCCAACTCCTAGGTGGGCCCCAGGAGGTTCTATCTACCCAGGATCGCCCCACGGCCAATGAAACAGAATAAATAATTTCTCTGTCTTGAGCCGAGATTCGAACCTGAAACCTTTAGCATTCAGGTTCGAATCTCGGCTCAAGGCAGAGAAATTATTTATTTCAATCTGCTAACCGGAAGTGCCACTTTATATCAGCGATTTTCGATATTTTTTACGATATTCTCAAAAACAATTAAACAATTAAATTCATTACATCAGTTTAAAATTAAACGCTTTTTAATGTAATCTAGGTCCTATTCTTATTTATTTTTGATTTCTCTAAAGTACCTTTAATTTGTTTATTTATTTTGAACGTGATATGAGGTATGAAACATGGTTAAATATGAGGTATGAAATAAATCGATAGTTACCTAAAGGAAAAATAACATAATATAATAGAGAACCGCCGAAAATCGGCCAAAGATCAGAACGGGTTTTATGCATAAGCATGAGCGGTTTTCATAAATGCTAACTTTGATAATATTTAATTTTATGGATTACAGCAATATAAAAATTAAAATTTGGATAAATTTACCAATGCTTAAACAAATCAAATACCTATAATGAAATATATGTAGAAATTTAGCGCTTTTCTTATCAGGGACTTTAAATCGGTACCCAACTCCTAGGTGGGCCCCAGGAGGTTCTATCTACCCAGGATCGCCCCACGGCCAATGAAACAGAATAAATAATTTCTCTGCCTTGAGCCGAGATTCGAACCTGGAACCTTCAGCATTGGAACCACTGAGCTACCCCACTGCCTTTTTTATATAATTAAAGAATCTAAAAATAAATTCTGCGCAGTTTCAGCTAAAAAATGTTAAATTACAGAGATTAATAATGATTTCAAACTTATATACTAAAGAAAAGTGATAACGAAACCTCTCTGAAACATACATGCAGTCTTGCACCATTAAAAATCAACTGCCAAATGATTATTGTTGCATGATATCACTTGAGGTTCAGCCATCACCCTCCCAAGTTTTTTATTGTAAATCTATTCACATTTCCAACCTCTAGAGGGTTTACAAAGCTTAGTTTGATAATGAGTGTAAAACTATCTATAAAATCAGCCGCCATTTTGGATTAAGGCAAGAGACTTTTACCCTATTATTACTTACTTTATACAAGTAAACCTGAAAGCTTTCAAATGGTTCAAGCGGGAGAAGTTTAACGGGGTAATTAGCTAAAAAAAACTCTTTTCGGTTTAGCCCACCATATGATACATATGAAAGATGGCTACTATCACGAAATCTAACCAATATTAGTTAAAAAATCATAAAAGTCATGACTAGTTAGTTTAAAATAAGTAAGCATTATGACGATAGATGGAAAATGGGATGATCCAAAATATACAGGCTTCAGCAAATATTTCAACAGCCACACAATCAGGGGTAGGTCCAATGTGAGTATCCAACAAATATATGTATACATTATTCATAATCAGTGAAATAGGGTAGATTACCAGGATCCTCCTCTAAAATGTCTGCAAAAACTTCAACGCCAGACGTCAATTTTTGAAGACTGAAGTATTCTGTCTTTATATCATTTTTACGCCACTGCTCATCGATAAGCCAACTGGCGATTGAGGTTAACTTATTTTTTATCATAAAAAATAATATTAACTTTACTTTAAAAAATATTTTATCTTGGTAAATGCATACGTACTTATCTCTATATATTCATATTTGTATGTAACTACTATATGATATGAATTCATATTTCTGTGGAGATTTCTTTAGGATTCTTCAATAATCACTGTTCTTAATTACTAAAAATGACACATTAGACAAAATAACGTAGAAAAACTGAAAGTAGCGATGGATAGTATTACAATCAATCTAATTACTCATTGGATGGTAAACCTCAAATTACTAAACTGCTCGATAACTTTTTTACTATTCACTAATATTAATATTTTACTTAACAAAGTGTTGCTGCCTAGACCACTGGCGGAATTACGGGAAAGGGGGAAGCTTTCAGGCTGAAGCCCTCTCCCCTCCCAAAATAAAGTTGTTTTCATTTTCATTGGTCCATATTTGATACTGTAAATTATCTTAGCTAAATACTTAAAAAATAACAATATGTTATATTTTTAGTTTCCACTTACCTATATATGAAATATATAGTTAGGGAAAGTAATGCAATCGTAAAAATTTTCGAATCTGATTTCTCAAAAGAAATACACGTTTTGAGGTCAACTTAGTCCGAATAACCAAGCCCCGCAAAATAGTATGTGTGTGTGTGTGTGTGTGTTTGTGTGTGTTAACAGTCTAGCTCAAAAACGAAGGTCGTACGAAAGTGAAATTGCATATTTAAGGTTTTTATATGCTAGAGGTGTTACAGCAACTTTTCGTCAAAATCGGATAACCGGAAGTGGCACTTTATATAGTGTACTAAACACATTTTTCCGATTTTCTCAAAAACGGCTCTTGCGATTTTGATTTAATTCATCATATCGATGTAAAATTAAGCAGTTTTAAACGAAGTGTAGTTTTTATTCTGATTGTTGTTCTCTAACAGGGCTTAAATGGCTAATTTTCAATATTAGCTTCCCCTTAAGTACCTTTAATTTTTTTTTTTTTTAAATATTGACCATTTCACATGAATTCCTAATATAAAAGATAGTTAAATATAAAATATGAATAATTGATAAGGAGAATAGTTGTAATCGGGGAACAAAAGGAATACGAACTTGCCCGAAAGATTAGAACACGGTTCCATACATAATATGAGCTTAATATAATAAGGACTCCGAATATATTATGTAAATATGCATTTGCGGTTTTCATAGATGCTATTTTTGGTATTATTTATTATTTAATTGTATAGTAAATATTCCAGTAAATATTAAAATTTGTATACATAAGAGTACTTATGAAAATAAAAATATCTGCAATGAAATATAAATGAATATAGCGTGTATAATTTTCACTCCTGTCTGAAAATACTTATTTATGATAAAAGGATGGTTACAGAAAGTTGTGTGATGCGCTCACCGTCCAGATTTTTTAAATTAAATTTGAATTATAATGCATATACAGCTACTAAATATAACTATATATTATGAAAAAAATATTTTAAAATCTGGTGCGCGCAACACACAACTTTTACTGCTCTACTTCGAAAATCAATTTTTGTCTAGCAATTGTTTCCTTTAGTTAGTTTTCAGAAAATATTTTTTATAATTTTTTATCACTCTCCATTATCATCTAAGACTTTGTATGTTATGTTGTTTTTCCTAGAATTCTCAGCTTTCCAACGATATATTATACAAATACATTCAGGGTGCTATATCAGTTTGGCTAACCGATGGTACTTTGGGCTTCATAGACACTAAGCGAGTCACCATCTCTCTATAAAACAAAATTATGTCTCTATAAGAATCTAATACGATCAATAATCCTTTAATTTTTTGAAACAGAAAATAATTTTTCATATTGAAATTATTTTAAATGAATGTTTTTTTTCTGTTGGCATAACAGACCTTGTAGATCATTTGCCGCCTTTTTTTTTAACTATATATATTTATTTATTTAGGAATATTACATTCTGTCACATCAAGGACATTTATAATAGTGATCAGAGAAAGCACACTCACACTCTATTTACAATAAAAAAAAAAAAAAAATAATACAGAAACTTAATAATAATAAATACAATAAAATAAAATAAAAATAAATACAATAAAATAAAATAAATGTATATAAACAAAAGAACTAACCTAATCATACACACTCGGGCTTGAGTGGAGGATCTGGCCATTGCCAAAACTCCAATAGATGCTTATTTACAAAAGGTCTCTGGGCCACTGCCGCTTCAACCTTCGAGGAGGATTGTAAGGATGGGTGGTGCTGGATAGAGATTGTGCAAGGGGATTTGGATGATAGGTAAGGTTCTGGTGAAATTTGGAGAATTTTTCTGGAATAAGGTCTAGGACAAATGGGATATTAAGGTCATGGTGTAGGATTTTGTTATTTACATAGAACGGAGCATCAACTATTGTTCGAAGGACTTTAGATTGAAAGGATTGAATACGTTTGATGTTAGAAGCTTTTGCTGTCCCCCACAGTTCAAGTCCGTATGTCCATATAGGTTTCAGTATTGTCTTGTAGATAAGTAATTTGTTTTCAATAGAAAGTTTGGATTTTCTGTTTAGTAGTCTGTATAGCTGGCCGTATCGTCGGTTGAGTTCTTGTCTTTTGAGTCTAGTATGTGGGTTCCACGTTAGTCTTCGGTCTAAATGAAAGCCAAGATACCGGACTGTGTCTGAGTAAGGAAGCTGGATGGAATTAAAGTGTACTGGTGGACAGGAACTGCGTCGGAGTGTAAAGGTAATATGTTGGCATTTAGATTCATTAACTTTAATGCGCCAGTTATTACACCAGTGCTCAATCAAGGTGAGGTGGTTTTGGAGATTTAAGGATGCTATGTTGGGATCAGAGTTGGATGATAAGATTGCGGTGTCGTCAGCGAATGTTGCAAGAAAAGTATCGGGATGAACAGGGATGTCAGCAGTAAAGAGGATGTAAAGCACGGGACCCAAGACGCTGCCTTGGGGAACACCGGCTTTAACGGAGTAGATATTGGAAAATTCTGTTCCACAGCGAACTCGGAAGGAGCGGTCAGAGAGGTAGGATCGGAGGACTAGGTACAAGGACTGAGGTAAATGGATTTTAAGCTTGAAGAGCAGTCCGGAGTGCCATACCCGGTCAAATGCCTGTGCAATGTCCAGAAATGCACCCGAACAGTATTCCTTGTTTTCTAGGGCTGAGGAAATATGATCAACAACTCGGAGTCCTTGTTGAACAGTAGAATGTTGGGAGCGAAAACCAAACTGATGGGAAGGAATATTTTGGGATTCTATAATGGGTAGGATTCGTTTCAAAAGGATCTTTTCAAAAATTTTTGAAAGGATTGGGAGTAGGCTAATTGGTCTATAGGATGTTGAGATATTGGGAGGTTTGCCTGGTTTTTGGAAAAGGATAATAGTGGAGTGTTTCCATAGCAGAGGAAAGTGGGTGGTGCGTAGGATACAATTGTAGATATATGTAAGGAATATGACTGCTTTGGATGGAAGTTGTCGAAGGATTTGAGGGGTAAGGAGATCATGTCCAGGAGCTTTACGGGGGATTAATTTTTTTAATTGAAATTTCACTTCGGAAGGATGAATAGCTTTTGGGGGCAAGGAAAGTGGGATTGGTGATGTAAGGAGTTCTTCTACTGTTACGGTGTGGGCAGGATGGGATTCCGGATGTGAAATAAATGTATTGGATAGGTGAATGGCGAACTCCTCAGCCTTATCTTCGTCAGATGCTGCCCAGGAGCCATCATCTCGTCGGAGGGGATGGGAAATGCGGTGAGGATTTAAGATTTTGGTAGTGGTTTTCCAAAGGGAATTGTCGCGAGAAGAAAGGGAGGATAGGTAGGAGTTGAAGGAATGTGATCTGAAGGTGGCTAATTCCAGTTTTAATTTTTTGCAGTAATAATTATAGGAGCAGCGGTCGGTAGGATGTCGGGTACGTTGCCACAATAATCTGGCACGGCGTTTGGTTTGGATTAGGTCAAGGAGGTGTTGGGGTAGAATGGTCTTTTTAGGAATTCTGGAGGAGTCTTTTGGGAAGGAAGCAGTCCAGGCGGCTTGTTGGATTGTGGTAGTAAATGAATTTACGGCACTATCAAGGTCATCGGGAGTTTTGAGGGATATGTTAAGATCAGTTTTATCGGAGATGATTTGGCGGAAAAGGTCCCAGTTAACTGGGCCCCTAATAAATGACGATGGAGAAGGTTTGGGAACGGGTTCAAGTGAAACATTAAGGATTAGAGGACTATGGTCAGAGGAAAGTTCATTTAGACGTGTAATGGAACAATTGAGGGGACTTAAGCCGCTGTGGATAAAGAAATCAAGAAGATCAGGATTACGGTTGGGATCTTTAGGCCAGTAGGTAGGAGAGTTGGGGGAAAGGAGGTGAAAATGTTGGGAATTGAGTGCAGATAGCAGGGTTCGGCCACGAGTATTCGTGGTTCTGGAACCCCATTGTTGATGTTTGGCATTTAGGTCTGCACCCAAGATGAAGTGATGTCCTAAGGAGTCGAGGAGAGAACGGAATTGGGCATTGGATATGGATCGGTTAGGAGGGCAATACGCTGATGCAAGGGTAACCGGAAAGGAAAAGGTTTTTATCACGATAGCGGTGGACTGTAGGAAATCATGTGTAGGTAACGGGAGTAGGTGATGGGAGAGGGATTGGTGTACAATGACAGCAGTACCGGCATGTGCTTTTCCGTCAGGGTGGTCAGTACGATATGTCAGGTATTGTGGTATTTTGAAGTGCTGTTTAGTGGTTAGTCGAGTTTCAGTAATTAGTGCCACGTCAATATTTTTGTCAAGTAATAATGTAGTTA